TTGTAACCGCTTCTGTCTGACAACAGATCAATTTGTGACCGCCTCTGTCTGACAACAGATCAATTTGTGACCGTTTCTGTCTGACAACAGATCAAGTTGTGATCACCTCTGTTTGACAACAGATCAAGTTGTGATCACCTCAGTTTCACACCAGATCAAGTTGTGATCACCTCTGTTTGACAATTAAGTTGTGATCACCTTTGACTGATAATAGATCAGTTGTGACTGGTTGTCTTGTAGGAAAGGAGTGAGCGGGAGTACAGCCTAGTACAATTAGTTTTGAGAAATTAACACAGATTAACACTGCAGTGAGAGGAGAAGATGTGGAATGGCAACAAGGTAAGCCGGGGTTTCCCCCTTGGGACTAATTATGGTGACACAGATTTCTTGAAGGTAGTCAAGCTCAGCAGAGGTAGTGACTTGGACACAGACGAGACGCCAATTTTTTTAAATTAAGTGACATGACAGTTAAAGCCCTAGAAATGTAGATTAGAACACAGGTCAGGCAACGATCCTGGGGGTACCGACAGGTGAAGGAGATTAATTTCCCTTTGAGATTAGGCGGGACCAATGAAGAAAGATCAAGAAAAAATCTAAAAAGATGGAGATGAACAGGTGGACGGATGGATGACGGTGGGGGTGAGAAATGGGTGACACTCAGAGAGGGGGGAGGGAGAGAAGGAGGAAACACAAGGACAGGTGAGTGAGAGAGTCGAGGAGGCAGTCAGGACCAGGCGTGTTAGCCAGAAGGTCAGAAGCCAGTTGAGGTCGATAAATAGCTTGTGAACATAACCATTTATGAATGAAATAGAAAGAAAATAGGAGTTGTTAAGAGTAACTGAGATATACCTGCTTCGCTAGAAGAAAGATAAATTCTAATGCGTGTTAAAAGAGACTTTATAAACAGTCAATAACCTGTTAGAAGTGTAAAATCAATGTCATAGAACAGTCAATAACCTGTTAGAAGTGTAAAGTCAATGTCATAGAACAGTCAATAACCTGTTAGAAGTGTAAAGTAAATGTCATAGCAACTTATACTACAGTGGTCTTTATCACTGTGTAAATTAACTTATTGTCATTCATGAACTGACATTGTATTTTTATACTAAACAGACTTAATTGTATTGGATTTGATGGATCACTGGCTAGTGAAAGTGTCCTGTCCTATCCTTTTTCACGTTCACTGGGTGTAAACTTCGGCGAAAGGTTCTGTTGTTGTCCATCTCCAGACTTTAGTCTTGCTCCAGAAACAGATCTGGCTTAATTGTATGCAGACTGTTGGTTCTTTGCCTCTCAAGCAGATTGGTACCCTACTGAAAGATTACCTTCTACTCTCAGAGAGACACTAGGCTCAGGGCAAAAATTGTGTACTATTGAAAGCAGTTCATAAATTAGTTTACAATACTCTAGTCACTAGACACAAAATCTCAATTCTATTTAAAAAAAATTATGTCAGGGTAAAGATGGTGAGCCACTTATAGCTTGGTTTATTGCTTACCTTTATTAACAGTGTGACTAGTTTGGAAGTCTGCAGCATTGCCTCCAACAGACCTGCAGTAAAACACCAAGAACATCATCATCATGAACAAAGTCTCCATTAAAAAATGACAGTGCCTGAAAATACAATAACAGAGTAACCTAAGCAAAACTGTCAACTTCAGGGCTATGCTAAACTAATGTTGATGGTATGCTAAACTAATGTTGATGTTATGCTAAACTAATGTTGATTTTATGCTAAACTAATGTTGATGTTAGGCAAAACTAATGATGTTATGCTAAACTAATGTTGATGTTATGCAAAACTAGTGTTGATATTTAGAAATCGATCATCAACATCAGCTGACAGGGAGAAATTAGGTAACAGCTGCAATAACATGCTTTTAAAACATGAGGACTCCTGGGATAGTAAGCCTAGAAGCACAGTACAACAAACATGGCTGAAGCCACTGAGCTACTGTATTTCCTCAAACATAAAAAGATCCCATGCAGCTTGATTTTGGGACCAGAAATTTCAGGAAAACACTTACATCCAATTACTGAACTCCCGTTTTATTCATCACAGAATCCAGAAAACTCATCACTTTCAAAACTCTCATCCATTTAATAATTGTTTATGTGACAGAGCTAGGTGCAGACTATATGTAGCTGTAAGTACATGTGCCCATGCTTTAGCTGAAGCTTTTATGGAAAAGTATAAAACATGGAGAATTGAACCCATCCCTATCAACTAGCTACAGAGTATGCTGATAAAAGCCACCAAGAAATAACAAACTAGTTGTGCGGTAATTGCTTGCCAAGATATTTTTTCTCCAGCCAGAGATATCTAGTTAAATTGTACGACAAAATAGACAGAAGGTCAATTGTGCAGGTACAAGACAAGATTTGAATTACCAGATAATGGGTTCAATTCATTCATAGAGAGACGAAAAACATCTGCATCAGACAAATTGTCCCCTGCCAGCAAACAGATCACCAGGGCATAATTAAAGTAATCCCTGAGTTAAAACATTTTCAGCCAGCCAGGAAATGTTCCCGCGGTGAAACGGTTTACATAAACTTGATAGTTCCCTACTGTTTGAGTTGGCTGCAATAGACAGTAAGATTACATGTCAGTTTATTCTGATCCCCACCAGCTACAGCTGTAAGGCCAAACAAGTCTAAGGAAAATAAATCCTGTTGTTAGGCCGGTCTGTTGTCACCATTGTTATCAAGTAAATTTATACATAAATTAAACTAGATTAATTAACTTGCAACATATTTTATTGAAACATTTTATTATTATTCTATTTTCTAATGGCTCACTGATTTATCTTCATATGATAATTCATTCAATAAAATGTGTTGCAAGTTAATTAAACCGGAGATCAATTTGTGTATAAATTTACTTGATAATGGTGAGCACAGACCAGCCATGGACCGGCTTAACAAAACCGGAATATCCATTGACCTGCTTTACTGCTGGAGCTGGCCGTGATCCAGATGTTTATCAATTATAGACCTCATCTGACTCTGAAATTCAGGTTGATAAAATTTGGATTTACTAGGATACAGGACTAACAACTCCCAAGTTTGTTTACACAGTTACATTGTAGCAACAGAGCAACTATTGAACGACTTGCACGAGTCGCAGAGGGACAGTTTGCAGAAAACCCGTTAGTGGTGTTACTGGGAAGCTGTACTGATCGATGCAAGAAACATGGCCCTGGGTGGACAAGACTGACAGAAAGATGTGAAGGAACGATGGTAACATGATGAAGGACAAGTGAAGGAAACTAAGGAAATCAAGAAACGGACCAACTATTGCTTCAGCCATGTAGGATATGTTTGAGAATAATCATAATGGAATGGACCACATGTGTTTTTTTTTTTCTAAACGTATATTTCAGACGCAGAAGTGGAAGAAATTATATTTGCTTATTAAGCAAGTGCTATTGGAACGAAGTAGTATAGCGTAGGTATAAGCTGTAGTAATTTTAGGCTCCACAAATGGTGGTTGCTAGATTTTAGTAATTTTGACTTGTGATTGTAAGGTTGCCTAATGATTCAAGGGACTCCTAAACGTATCTACTGACATTTCTTATATTACACCACATACTATATGTGCGCAAAAATTTTCCTGCTGTGCAAAACATAAAAGATAGTTAAACAAGAAATATTGCTAAGCAAATACATAGCACAACCTGGTGTTGTGTGTGTGTGACAGCACAAGATATACTCAGTCAAGAGGACTGATCAACTATATCAGAGGACTCATGGCAATCAGTGTGACAGTTCTGACCTGCTGTCATACAGGCAGACACTGCCACATTTAGCATGTCCTTGACTGTGTCTGAAAATGATCCACTGTCTTCTTATACAGCCTCAACCTCGGATCCATCAACGACATTTGAAATGCCACACTTCTTGAATGACTTGACAATGATCTCATCTTCACATGATCCAATTTTATCCATAGACAAGGTAAAACATCTATAGCTGGTTTCTTCACACTACCTGCTGGTGTCAACTTGTCCCGAGAAGACTTCATCCACTGGTTCCATTTGTCTCTTATGGTATCTGCAAAGGTTTTTTTTAAATATTTACATCAAGATGTTAAAGCTGGGATGTCAAGCCTCCAGTATTGTGAAGACGGTATCTGTGTAGGTTTTTTTTTTATGTTTACACCAAGATGTTGAAGCTGGGATGTCAAGCCTCCAGTATGGTGAAGATGGTATCTTCAGTAGGGTTTCTTCTTCCCGTAGCCAGTCTCGAATTGTTGTCTCAGTTGGAGGAGGACAAAATTTACATTCAGCAGCATGATTTCCATTCACTTTTACAAACTGGATCACTTTTTACTTGAAATCAGCCATGTTCAAAAATCTTGTTTGAGACATTTATGGCCAAAACGTAATCAAATGCAACAAGTGTGAAACAATGAGCGCAAAAAATACAATGGCGGGAAAGTACTTTTAATTTTAAAAAAACTGTTTCCCCATATATATAAAAAATCATTTGGTACAAATCAGGCACCACTTTATAAGATACATATTTTTTTTAACCCTATATTTTTGGGGAAATAAGTGTGTCCAGTTCTATAAGTGACATGGACTGAATGAAACAACAACAAACAATCTGTTCTACAGGTGACATGGATAGATACAACAAACAATCTGTTCTACAGGTGACACATAGATAACAACAAAAAATCAGTTCTACAGATGACACATAGATAACAACAAACAATCTATCATACAGGTGCAATAGATTGACACAACAATCTAACATACAGGTGAAATGGATTGATAAAACAATCTGTTTTACAGGTGACATGGGCTGAGACAACAACACACAATTTGTTCTACATGTGACAGGGATTGATACCATTCATAATTTATTCTTCACTTGATATACCACAACATAAAAACCATATAATGGCACGACATCACAACCAGGATACATAACAACAACAATCTGTACGAACCTGTTAACTCTGGTTTTTGTGCCTGAACCCTTTGGTCCACCCCTATTGGCATGAATGTCCAAATGATGCTTGGATGTGATTCTTGCTGCTCCTCTAAAACTGTTTCCTCTGCCTTGACAATCACCTCTAAATGTTCTACTTTGATAATCACCTCTAAATGTCTTTTCCTGACCACCATATGTAAATGTCCTGCTTCTGTGACTTGTGTCTAATCTACCCGATGTGTCCCTTCTATCCCAGCTTTGCCTGTCATGTGCTCCTCTGCGGAATCTCTCACTGCTGGCTCCTCTCTTTCCGTGTGGGCCCGGATTGTAAAACATAGATTTAGCCTTGACCCTGCCTGAACCTGTGTCTACATAAGCGCTATCATCATCACTGACACCAGCATCAGTTATTGTAATTTCTAAATCCTCCTCCTCATCACTTCCAGCGAAGAAAGGGTCTGATATCACTGTTTTATTTGCCCTAGTCAAAAATACTGGTACTAGCCCTGTCTTATATTTCTCACTGATTTCATCATCATCATCATTATCACTAGAAAGAAAATTGTCTTGTGCATTCTGAAGCCTGAGTTCTCTGACCACACACTCACTGCTGGTCTGACAGTCACTAATGTGGCCGGACTGCAGGATGTTTTCTGAATCTGAGACCACAACATCTGCAGGAATCTGACCATCTGCTGTATCTCTACTACTGTCACTGTCCTTGTCCTTGTCACTACTGTCACTGTCCTTGTCACCACTACCAGATTCATCAAGGGGTTTCTGCTGTTTCCCTTCTGTTAACTGACTTTGATTCAACATGCCTGTCCTTTGATTTATCCTTCTTTTCTCTACCATCATTTTTTTAGCACTATTCTGGGATAATTCCTGTTGATTTTCTTCCTCTTCTACAAGATTATCTGCTTTATTAGTTTTAGAATCTGTCTTCTTTGTTTTATGTCCTTTATTTTCTACAAGATCATCTGTTTCAGAATCTGTCTTCTCTGTTTTATGTTCTTTATTTTCTACAAGATCATCAGTTTCAGAATTTGTTTTCTCTGTTCTATATTCTTTATATTCTACAAGATCATCTGTTTCAGAAATTGTTTTCTCTGTTTTAGGTTCTTTATTTTCTACAAGATCCGCTGTTTCAGAATTTGTTTTCACGGTCTTACGTTTTTTCTTCAGCTGACTGTCATCATTGTTGTGCTGACCGTCTGCACTCTTCCCACCAACAACTGATTTTGGTCGTTTTCGTTTCCTTTCAAACGTTTGCTCTGCTTTCAGCAAACCTTCCTGTCCAAATCTCCCTTGAATATAAGCTTTGGTCATGGTCTCACTGGCGTTCATGTTTTCCACACGTCTTTCCAGCTTCTTCTGTTTTTGTTTTTTTGTTTTAAATCGCCGACCTGTCTGCTTGATCAGCAAATAAGCAGCCAAATCTGGCCAATCACTGTGCTGACTGCGGAAATCTGTGACCACTCTCTTTAATAGTGGATGCTCAGCAAGTCTGGCAAGTGCGCGGGGCCCTGGTAACAAGCTTATCTGGAATAATTCAAGATTTAAAAAACTCAGATTTTCTGCTCACTTTAATATATACAGAAAGGTAAAATATTGTTCTCACTAATATACACAGAAGGGTGAAATATTCTGCTCACTTTAATACACATAGAAGGGTTAAATGTTGTGCGCACTTTAATATACATAGAAGGGTTACAGATTCTGCTCATTTTAATATACATAGAAGGGTTAAACGTTCTGCTCACTTTAATATACATAGAAGGGTTAAACGTTCTGCTCACTTTATTATACATAGAAGGGTTCAATGTTCTGCTCACTTTAATATACATAGAAGGGTTAAACGTTCTGCTCACTTTATTATACATAGAAGGGTTCAATGTTCTGCTCACATTAATATACATAGAAGGGTTAAACGTTCTGCTCACTTTATTATACATAGAAGGGTTCAATGTTCTGCTCACTTTAATATACATAGAAGGGTTAAACGTTCTGCTCACTTTATTATACATAGAAGGGTTCAATGTTCTGCTCACTTTAATATACATAGAAGGGTTAAACGTTCTGCTCACTTTATTATACATAGAAGGGTTCAATGTTCTGCTCACTTTAATATACATAGAAGGGCGAAATGTTCTGTATGGATGCATCTGTTGCAATCTCAACTGGACGACCAGATTGTGTTGCAACAACAATTTTGGAGTGCCTGGATCAAACTTGTTTACCTGGCTATGAATCGCTTTACGGGATAAACATCTGTCAGCACAAGCAGAAAGGATTTCCTTATAAATGTCCTTTGCATGCAGACATTTTGCCCCCAAAAAAACGTTCAACGGCATGTTGTTTTTTGAGGATATACTTCACAAGAAGTCAACATTTGTGTTGTGTTGTGAAGGCACATGCAACACCTAGTGCTATCTAACGAATGGAGACAAAAAGTTTGATGCCGCTGTCATCTAATGACACCATAGGAAAACACCAGCTACATTTTCCTGCCACCTCATAACCATTTATGACTCACTTATTGACTTCCCCTGGCTCTGCTTGCTTTAATTTACACAGAAGGGTTAAATGTTTGGCTCATTTTAATCTACACAGAAAGGCAATATGTTTCGCTCACTTTGATATACATAGAAGGATGAAATGTTCTGTTGATTTCAATATACATAAGAGGGTGAGTCAAAAATTCCATCTATGTATCATAGAGATATTTCTAAATGTGGAATGTTATATTCAAGTTATCACATATACAGTCCTACATTTAAGTGTATCACAGAGACATTTTAACTGCATCATAGACAATCCAACATTCAAGTATATCACAGAAACAGTCCTACATTTAAATGTAGCAGAGAGACAATCCTACATTTAAATGTAGCACAGAAACAATCCTACATTTAAATGTTGCACAGAAACAATCCTACATTTAAATGTTGCACAGAAATAGTCCTACATTTAAATGTATCACAGAAACAGTCCTACATTTAAGTGTACCACAGAGACAATCCTACATTTAAGCGCATCACAGACAAAACTACATTTTAACTGCATCATGTATACAATCCTACATTTAAGTGTATCACAAAGACAATCCTACATTAAGGTGTAACACAGAGACAAGACAATCCTACATTAAGGTGTATCACAGAGACAATCCTCAATGTAATATCAGTGTGTACAGACAAAACATTTATATGTCCAGATGTAGCATTTCTATGTGTATCACAGAGACATTCCAGTTGGTCTAATCAGACACTTGTACATCCAGGCAGAATGTTTTAGGAACTGATGCATTTTTAACCCTGTCTGTACATTTATCTGTATCCCCAAGACAAGACACACGTGAGACATTTATAACTCCAGGTGTATCACTGGAACACATTCTTCTTCTTCTTCTTTCGTTCGCATGAAATAAATTGTCTATATCTGCAAAGCCGTCTCTTGTATGAATTTCACTGTCTTTTGTAATTCACTAAGCGGCCCGTAAAGTTTGACTTCCACAAGTGTCTCTTTTGGCCAAATGTTTTGCCTGAAAGCGTTGAATATGGGACAGTCTTGAAGGATGTGATCTGTTGTTTCAGGTGCCACTCCACAAGTACACATGGCCGATTGGCCAATCTTAAATTTGTTGTACATGTGGGAGCGAAGTCTATTGTGCCCTGTTCTAAGGCGAAGGATAATAACTTGCTCTGGTCTGTCCATAATATGGTAATCATCTTGTACTCAATGTACACTCCCGCACCTCCGTTTCTGACTGCGCTTTCTGCTGACCCATCTGTGAAAACACGGACCCAAAGGTTCTGCGGGTATTCATCATCAAGTAGACTGAGTGTGGCTGTTTTGCGCTGCACACTGTTTTGTTCTTCCTTGTCAAATACCCCTTTCACTTCAGTCTTGATGTGTATTGGAAACTTATACTCCTCTCTCCAGGGGGTCCGTTCTGGGACAGCATTTAAGGATCTATCAGTTGCAGGTAAATCAGTGGTTTGTCTGCCGAGCCGTTTGGCCTGGTGGATAAAACTACTTCTCTTTAGTCGTCCCAAAGCTAAATTTTTGAATCTTTCATTCATAGGGTGACTGGGCATACTAAGAAACTTTTCTGCTTGTAAAAGCATCTTGGTGTCTCTGCGTTCACTCAGTGCTTGGGTCATCCCCATTTTCTCCATCACAGCTATAGGTGTTGATTTCACACTGCCTGTGGTAACTCTGAGTGCTTGATTTTGCACTTTGTCTAATTCTTGCAATGTGGTTTTTGATGCCGAACTCCATGCTATTGATCCGTATTCAAGATGTGGTCGAACACTTTGTTGGTAAACTTTTCTAAGTATTTTCCCGCTAGCACCCCATGTGGTTCCACTTAGTTTTCTCAGAATGGCTACCCTCCTTCTGGCTTTGGTTGCTGCCTTGTTGATGTGTTTTCTCCATGTTAATCTATCATCAAACGTTACGCCGAGGTATGTGGGCTCCTTATCCTCTCTCAGGGGTACTCCATTTATGTGCATGGCGCCTGATTTTTGTTTAGGAGAAAGGGTAAAGAGAGTGGTGCTGCATTTGCCTATGTTGATGCTGACACACCATTTGTCGGCCCATTTAGCCATTGCATCTATGGCTCTTTGTAGCAGTCTGGTGGCCACTGTCGCATTTTCATTTGTACACCAGAGTACCAAGTCATCAGCATACATTGCAGCTTTAATTCCATGGGGTAGTTCAGAAAGCAGGTCGTTGATATAGACTAGGAAGAGTGTGGGGGACAGGACACCTCCTTGTGGGACGCCATGGCGCAGCAAAACTTTCTTGCTCTTAAGTCCATCTATCTGTACTCGGGATCTTCTGTTATACAAGTATGCTTTGACCCATTTGTACATACTCCCATTCACCCTGCAGTCTCTCAGTTTGTTCAGTAGACCTTCTTTCCAGACCTTGTCAAAGGCTTTCTTCAGATCTATCCATGCCGTTAGCACTAGCTTCTTTTCCTGGAAGGCATCCTCAATTTCTTGTGAAAGGTAAGTTGTCTGGTCTTCTGTGGAGTAGCACTGTCTAAATCCTGCCTGCTGCGGCGTGAAAATGTTTTCACTTTCCAAGTACCATTGGAGTCTAAGGTTGACAATACGTTCCATCGTTTTACAGAGGCAGCTGGTAAGAATGATCGGTCTATAGCTGGAGGCATCAGAACTGTCCTTTCCTGGTTTAAGCAGAGGTATTGTGATTGCTTCTCTCCATATTTGAGGAACTTTGCCACTTGTCCAACAATGATTAAAGATCTGTAGCAGCTTTATTTTGGCAGTTGTTCCAAGGTTCTTGATCATTTCGTTGGTGATTCCACCAGTTCCAGGTGATTTTCCCATTCTCAGCTTTGATATTGCTAATTCTAACTCGCTGGATGTAAATGCTGCCACCAGTGCCTCAGGAATTATTTCTTTTTGTCTTGTATGTTGTTTGTTTTCTTGAACCTCTCGCTGTTTCTCTGGGCTGACATTAATGTTGCTGTCTTCTGCAAAGGAATCTGCAAAGTGGTCAGCTGCCTGTTTTCTTGTTAGGATGGCTCCCTCTTTGCACAGTGCAATATAACCATTTCTCCCTGTATTCTCATCATTAATTTGCTTAATTAACCTCCACAACTTCCTTGTGTCTCTTTCAAAGTTTAGGGACTTTGTCTTTTCCTGCCAGCTTCTCCGTCTAGCCTGCAGTTTGGCTCTTTGAAATTTAGCCTTTGAATGTTGGTAGTTGTTAAACTGCTCTTGACAAGGTCTGGTCTCAGCCTGTTTTCTTTCTGTTTCCATATTGTTGTGCAGTTGCTCCAGATCGCAATTCCAGTACGGTTTGTATTGTTGACGCGCACCTCTTGGAACTGCTTCTAGGGCTGCCTGCAGTATGTGTTTGCTCAACTCTTGGACTACTTTTTCTACGTCGTTATCTGTGTTAAGATTTTCCAGCAGAACATTTGTGCGAAGCTGATATAACTTCCAGTCTGCCTTCTTGAAATTCCACATTGGCAGTGTACTGCTCTCTCTTACAGACTGGCTTTCGATAGTTAGAAAGACTGGCCGGTGGTCACTGCCTCCTAGTTGCTTCCCAACAGTTCTGGTAACATTCAGTTCCATGTCTGCTGAGTGAAAGGCTAGGTCTGGTGTCGAAGTGGTATGCCATGCTCTAGAGTAGAAGGTTGGTGGGTCGGTTGGCTTATTTACGAGGATGAACCTATTCTCATCCTGCCAGTCCTCTAGTTTCTCTTCTCTCTGGTCCATATGGTCGTAGCCCCAACTTTGGGAATGGCTATTAAAATCCCCACAAATGATCATTTTTTCATTTATTAGTACTGTATCCAGTGCCTGAGGGCGGTCGCTCGGACAGTAATAGTTGGTCAGATGTAAATCTGTATTTTCTAACTTGAGCTCAAGAGTTTGATACTCAGCACCTTCCATGTATGTTTCGATCCGGCCCGCAAGGATGTTATTTTTGACCAGGGTAAGAATTCCACCTTTTCTCCTGTCTTTGCGGTCAGATCGGAAACACTGGTAGCCTCTGAT